CTGGTGTAATTGTTTTTTCATTGAGGGCCTGGAGGAGAAAGACCCAAGAAACAAGCGAGGGTCTGGTGACTGTGCTCAGGAGTCTTGCAGGTGACAGTCTGTTTGTGGTTTGCAAAAGCAAATGTGTGAAAAAAACCAAAACAAACAAACAAACAAACAAAAAAACTATTCAAAGAGAAACTGCCTATCTACCATCATCTATCACTTACTGTATTGCCAACAGCACCCAGGATGTGACATTGGCTTACACCAGATTTCTTGCTTCTCAGAGCCATTGGCAAACCCCAACCATGTAGGTTACCAAGCAATGGGCCTGCAATACATTGCTTTCAAGCGTGCACACAAGTACACAGGTCATATATGAACACTGCTCTCTTTGTTGGAAGAAGGAAAAAAACAAAGGTTGGGAGCTTGGGCCTGTAGTCAATTTTGTTGTTGTTCTGTTTTGTTTATTTTCCCTTTCCCCCTCTGTTTGGAGACAATATAGGCTAAGTGCATCTAGACTTGAAGTCCCTCAGCTCCTGGGCTAGGGAAGTCTGGAGGGTCGGCCTAGGCCCAAGCCTGTTTGACTAAGAGTTACAGCTGCTTATCTGGTCCAAGAGAGTCCGCCAGAAGAGGAGGGCGCTTTCGCAGTGGGCCGGCAGGGGCATTCAGAGGAGTCTTCTTGGCTCTGTTCTCTGGCTGGCGACCTCAAGAGCTCTTTCAAGCAGAGGAGCGTGGAAGCACCGGGCACTCCCTCCCACAAACTAGCCATCCCTGGAGCAGTCTGAATTTCCAGGATGGCCATGTGTAATTTAAGGACCCTTACCAAGACAGGGTGGATACTGAGGGCTGGGGAGCACCAGTTCTGGCGCCCAAGGATGGTGTGGGAGAAATCCTGGTCACTATTGCAGCAAAGGGCTTGGGCTCAGAGGAGCCCCGCTTCTCCCCTTCCCTGCCCTTTAATCTTTTCTTCCGTCCTGAAGTGGGCCTGAGCAACTCGATCTGATGTACAGTTGCTTTTGGGTTATTGCATATCTGGAAAAGTAAACAGGAGTGTTCAAGTCACTTGATTTGTTTTCAGTAAGCAAATAATACCCCCAAAGCATGGCTGTAATTTACCACGAATTAAAATTGATTCTTTTCATCAGGCAAGAAAATAGGAAAATGTGAGATCGTTAATTATTGAGGGAGGCGCTTCTCATTAAAGGGAACAATGTTACAATTCAGCATCTAATAGCAGGAATGTGAATAATAACGCACCATATTTCAGCCCACTGTCTACACAGAAAAGAGCCGTTTACAAACAACGCAAGCAGCTGAAAGTTACATTTAATAAACACCCGAGATTTCTGTAAGTGGAAAAAGCAATTAGGACTCTGGGCACACTACCCAATTCTTCCTGGAGCACCCTCTATATATATTTATTCTCCCTGTCTCTGTCTGTACAAAGGATTTGCAATGATAGCAAAAACACAATTAGAGAGAAAATCAGAATTTCAAACCTAATCTGCATAAATCCATCTTTTGGGCTTGTTGCCTGCTCTCCCATCCCATCCACCTCCTAGTCCATCCACACCTTATTTCTAAGTCTTGCTCCAAAACTGGCTGCCAAAACCTAACGTGGGTGTTGTTTGTATAGCAGGTATAGTTGTAATTTACATAGCTGCAAGTTTTTTTTTCTTTTCTTTTTTTTTAAGAAGCACCTCTCTCCCCAAATCATCTTCAGACAGAGATATCAAGTTCTGCTCGGTTTGGGTGCTCTTGCCTCGGGAGCCAGGAGCCTTTAGAGGCTCTTTGTGCTTCCTTTAAAAGGAAAAGGGGAGGAGAGCAGTAAGAAGAAAAAAGATTTCCCTGTGCATCGTCCCTTGGCAGGCTCTTGTACAAAATTCAATCTCTATTTTTTATGAGAAGTAAACTGTCTAAATAAATTTTATTAGGGGCAACCAATATATTTTCTGGTAGTTCCCTTTGTCCCACTTCTACGTGTGTGTAACAATCTAAAACCTATTTATTGAGGAAAAATCACTGGATCCGTCATAGAAAATCCTTTTACTTTGCTTTGAAGTGATTTCTGAAGACATTCTTGTCATTCTGAAGATTTGGGGGCCATTGCGCTAAAGCCTCGCCTTGTTAGGGACTTCAGTTCCCATGATCATGTGGGAAATGCTTTGAATTATCAACAGCAATGGGCCTGACCGGCACTTTCCCGGCTGCCCCAGGAACGTGGGAAGATGACGGGAAATAAAACTCTGGTAAATACATCTCAGGCGCTGCCCAGGTGGATTCAGACATTGACCAAACCGAGTTGCAGAGCCAGAACACGGAGTGGGAGCGAGCATTTCACATCTAGACTTTCTTTGCTTCCCTGCCACGCCTGCTGACTGCCAGCTCCAGGCTCCAGCCCCAGCCTGCTCCCTCCCCACCTCAAGGCCCCCAAGCTGCCCCCTCACCCCCTCCCACCCTTAGATTTCCCTTTTTCCTTTTTTCCTCTTTGCTCTCTCCTTCCCCCCCTCTCTGAGGTGCTTATGCTCTGAAGTCTTGGAAGAAATGATTTAGTTTGTTTATACTGCTATAAAAATCAAGACCAATAGAAAAGTCATAAAATGAAGCGGGCTATCAATCACGCTGCAACATTGTTATTCAGTGGTTACTAACAGAGATGGATAATCCTTTGATTTTGTCCCATTGTTATTACTCTGATGTGTCTTCACATTAACTATTACACATTTATTTATCGACCTGAAAGATACAACAAAACAGAATATACGAGTGAGTGCGCGCGTGTGTGTGTGTGTGTGTGTGTGTGTGTGTGTGGATGCGAGGCAGTGACCGCAGTAGATCCAGGGCTGCAGCGGGATCCGGACGTGAACAACACACACACACACACACACACACACACACACACACACACACACACACACTGATAGGCCTGGTTCTCTTCCCCGGTGCTCTCTGTCTCTCACTTAAGCAGCCGGGTTACTGAAGTACAGGACTCCTCAGACTCTTTGCTGCAGGGTCCCACCTTCCGGTTCCTCCTTTAACCACTAGACAGTACCTCTACCAGGCTTTCAGGCCTGAATACCCAGAAAACCCCACCCTGGTGGTTCAAAACCGAGGTCCAAACCTAGGCGCTTGCTCTTGTGCCAGGTCCTGAGCGCACAGCCCCTCCCGGGGCCGCTGAACTGTCCACTCCTGCTTCGCACACCCACTTGTCATATTTGAGGGGGGTTGTATAGAGAAAATCAAGCTGCTATTATCAGATGGGACTCAGTTTGCTTTAGGGCTTGGAATTTCCCTCCCAGGCAAAACCTTGGGAGCCCCCAAGGCTCTCAGACGTGCTGTAGGTAGTCTCTTGGGCTCCTCCTAGAGCGCATCCAGGGCTTCTGGCGCCTTGGTACCCTCGGATGCTGCAGCCCTGCCAGGTCCGGAGCTCCCCGGGTGAGCGGCGTCCAGGGCTCGCTCCGAGACACCGACAAAAACCAAGGCCCTGCACTCACAAGCGTATGTGCACCAGCGAGGACGCGCGTGTTCGTGTGTGTGTGTGTGTGTGTGTCTGTGCACGCGCGCTCACAGAAGGACTTTGAAAAGGGCTGAGGAGGGGAAGGAGGAAACAAAACTCTGCAGAGTTGCTTCGCAGCCTCCTTTGTCTCCTTGCTCTTCTCTGTCTCTCTCTCTCTGTCTCTCTCTTTCTCTCTCACACACACACACATACATACCCACACACACACACGGTAAAGGACACACACACACACACACACACACACACACACACACACACACACCCTCTCACATCTGCTCTCGGGCAGCATTTCCAATGTTTTGTTTAAGTCAATTGGCCAACGAACAAAAAAAGCCATTTGTTCGGTATTATTTAAAACAGACTTCAGAGGGCCACCCTTTTGTGGAAGCTTTATTTGCACTAAATGAATAATCTTAATTGCATCACTCTCGAATTAAAAATCAATGTTAATCAAGTGGGGAGTAGTAAATATCAGTTTTCATTTTGCCTTGGGTAGAGGGCATTTTTCTCGTGTTGCAAATAAAAATACAAGTCAAATAACTTTAAAGGGGTATCATGTTCTGCTGCAAATACAATTGAAACGGATTGTTTGGGAGCAGATCAGAAACGGTACAGAATTTTGCACTTAATTTCCTCAGTTATCATTTACAATAAGAACCTCTGGGCTTGACAGCCAAGTCTAAACAGTAGTAAATTAGTACAAATTTATACTGATTTTACTCTAATAATCGTAATAAAAGCTTATAGATTTGGCACTAATTACATAAATGCCTAATGATCTTGAAAATTACTCTGGTTAGAAATATATTACTAATCTAAACTTTGTTGTTGGCTGGCTCTGAAAAATCAGAACATTAGAAATGGTTCGCTTCACTTGTGCAAAAGCACTTTAAATTGTTCAAGTAGTTTAACATATCCAAGAGGAAAATAAAGAGCGGTTAACTTTATTTACAGCCCTAAGTGGCTTTGGTAGCCTAACTGAACTTAGAAACTTTGATTGAGGCCATTTGGGAGCCAAGGTGAGACCTGTAGGCGCATTGGGCAGGGGGTCCTGGAATGAAGCTTCTGGAGTTTTGGAGGAGAGCATACTTCGTGAACTGCCCCATCACTGCCACCAAAAGCGGACAGCGGACCTTGGCAGAGTAGTGGGAGCCAACTTCCCCTTTACTCTCTAGGCCGGAGGTGGGACTGGGGCTCAGTAGGCCCCAGGGCCCGGCTGAGGAGTCTGGATCCCTAGCGAAGGCCTGTAGAGCGGTGACAAAATTTAGGGTGGCTCTCGAGGCTGGAGCTTGCCCTCCTGGAGCGGTCCAGTGTGGCCTAGCTGGCACGAGAGGGGGTGGGGTAGGATTATCATCAGGTCATGCGGAGGTCATGCCCTGCTCTGGTGTCCTAACTGACCCTGTTCCAGGGACATCCTATCTCTGAAACCTCGAGCTGAGCTGCGCCTGTGGCGCCTGTGCAAGCAAGGCAGGACCAGGAAAGGGAAGGTGTGCCTGGTGAAAATCTCAGGGAAGGACTGGCCGCGGCTCGGCCGGGAGGCCCAGGGCGAGGCCAAGGTGGCCGCTGCTTGCTTTAGCGGCTGCTGGAGGCTGGAGCTGCCTGGGCTGCGGCCGCCGCCTCCTCCCGGCAGGCGCAGGCGGGCGGGCGGGCGGAGTGGGGGACTCTCCGGGCGCTGACATTTGCAGGCTGCCCTCCTGATTGGTCCCCTCGCCGAGCTGCTCACGGGTTCATTCAACTGTTAAGCACCTCCCCGTCTCTCTAAAGGACATTATAATGCAAGAAGCCCCCTTTTTAACCACAAACCGAATTTTCTTTCATTTAGGTGATCTATATATATCTATATCGTATAGCTTATAGCTTATATCTATTTTAAATAACTTAAAGCCGCTAAAATTTGGGGGGGAACAGCTTTCGCCCTGGAGCGGTGCGCGATGCTGTCTCACGCCGACCTCCTGGACGCCAGGCTAGGTGAGTGAGCGCCTCTCACCCGGGCAACCAGGAGAAGCCGGGGCAGGAAATTGTCAATTTGTTCCTTATTTTACCTTAATGTGCCCTAAATGGACTAATTTCTTTAAAAGTAATTGTGCTGTATTAAAGTTTAATTTGATTTAACATCGTCTTTAAAAAAAATCTATGGAATATGTAGATCCCAAAACAAAAAGGAGTTGGGAATGCTGGCACTTTTTGTTTTCTAATTTTTCCCCCTCTCTCCCCTTATTTTTTTTTTTTTTTTGAAGGAGTTCTAGCCAGTGATAATTTGTTTGGAGGTCTCTCTCTCTCTCTCCTTTCCACTCTTGTTTGCTTCAGTTTGGACTTTCTTTCATCTCCTTTCTTCTTCTTCTTGCTTTCTCTTTACTACCTCCTCCTCTAAGTGTGGTAAAATTTGTTTTCTTTTAAAACAAATCTGGTCTGAAGGAGAAGTGAGTGTGTGAAGGTGGGTTTGCTAAATGTGCTGGTTGGGAAGAAAGCACAAGGCATCTTCCCGACTTCCTGCCTTCTACCAGGGACCCGGTGCTGCCAATGACTGGGAGGGACGAGCCTTTTATTTCTCTGGAGAGAAAAGTTGAATTCTCTAAAGTTTGATTCACGGTTATGGCTATAGAGTTTACTCGAGTTTCTTTAAAGCTATCTGGGTTACCGGGTTCTGGGTCTCCGTTTTGAGAAGCTGTGGTGATGGATGTGACTCCATTTCCCAAACCCCTTCTCTGATTTGAGGGGGAGGCGGAGCTGATTTGGGTTTATTTTGAGGGGTGGAAGGCTTGGAGACTTATTCATCTTCCGAAAGTCAGAGGGAATCGGCCAGAATTCATTAGTGCCTGAATCGCTCTCGATTTTCTCTGTCTCCCGCATCCCCCGTCCAAGACCTCGCTCAAGGTTTCCTGGGACACCGGGGATACAGTTAATGAAAGGACTGGGGCTGGTTTCGTCGCTTGGCCTGGGAGTGATTTTCTGTGGGAGAAACGAAAGCCGGAGCTGTGAACCTGCAGAGCAGGCTGTGGAGAGAAGGGGAAGGCCGGGAGATGTTATTTCAACCTAGCTGTCCAAATCCCGGGAAACCCGGCTGAGGTCCAGGCAGTTCCCGCAGCGGGGCGAGCGTGGGCGCCGAGGGAGCGGTGGATGGGGCTGAAGTCGGGAAGACACCCGCTCCAGACATCTTCAGGAAAGTAGTGACCAGAATCCCCTTCCCTCCTCAGGTATGAAAGATGCCGCCGAGCTTCTGGGCCACCGGGAGGCGGTGAAGTGTAGGCTGGGCGTGGGGGGCTCTGACCCTGGGGGCCATCCGGGGGACCTGGCGCCCAACTCGGACCCAGTCGAAGGAGCCACTCTGCTGCCGGGCGAGGACATCACCACAGTGGGCTCTACCCCTGCTTCGCTGGCGGTGAGCGCCAAAGACCCAGACAAGCAGCCGGGGCCCCAGGGCGGCCCCAACCCCAGCCAAGCCGGTCAACAGCAGGGCCAGCAGAAACAGAAGCGCCACCGGACACGCTTCACCCCCGCTCAGCTCAACGAGTTGGAGAGGAGCTTCGCCAAGACTCACTACCCCGACATCTTCATGCGTGAGGAGCTGGCGCTGCGTATTGGGCTGACCGAGTCGCGAGTGCAGGTACACGGGTCTTGGGCTCCGGGGAGGAAGGCAAGGAGGGACTGAGGACCAGCGCCCGGAGAGCCAGGCAGTCTGCCCTTCGGGGATTCAGGGCTGTCCTCTGCTGTCGCTGCGTTCCCGGGTAGGGTGAGCTCTTTCCCTGTCCAAACATTGGCAGGGTGACCCACAGGCCCCAGTGGACTTCCCCCATTGTAGTCACCGCCCCCCAACTCCTCACAAAACAAAAACAAAAACAAAACAAAACAAAAAAAAAAAAAAAAAAAAAAAAGCCTAGCATTCCGGGTTCAACTCCTCCAGAGAAGGGAACCGTCTTGTCTCCCGCGCACCCAGCTCACCTCGTTCCAGCCCTCACTACTGACAAGCGTTTCCTTGGCCCATAATGAGTTTCTATTACGAGTTTGGATAAATGGGGGAAATGTCACAATTATACAATTATACAAAAAACAGGAAAGAAGAACTACTGTGCAGAGGGTCTTTTAAAGAGGGGCGGCATACTCACACTTCCAAATGCGGTTTTAATCTCTTAAATCCCTCTCACCCATCAGGCAAAATACTCTGAGCTTTGTTGTTATCAAAGGCTTGGGTGGTCTACCAAGGCGCCGGGACTGGCCAAAAACACCCCCCATCTGTGAACTCTGGGTTTTAAATTTTAATAAAGATAATTTAGATTTCCCTAAGATTGAAGGCAGGATCTTTGACCCGAGGAAGGAACTTTTCAGGACAGGAAGATTAACCTGTAGTTGAGAAAATCATTAGCGTCCTGATTTTTATCTAACAGTCCTCCAAGTTGTAATTATAAGGAATCTAGGAAATTTCACCCGTACCTCTTCTGAAAATTTGGGGGCGGGTTATAAGATTAATGAATCCCAGATACTGTTCTTTTTCCTATTCGAAAGAAAGATTGTTTCAAAGGCGAGCACTTGGGCGAAAACTTGCTCTAGCCTGGAGCTATCCACGGTGCTGAAAACATTTCGTCACTACTTCAGACACTTTTTTCTGTCTAGCGTCTTGGGTGCTAGAGGACTAATTTGTCAAGCCAGTGCCTGATTTTGTAAATTAACTTTAAAGACTTCAGTTCGTTTATATTTTACTGACAAGGAAATCAGAATTTGTTTCGATTTGGTATTTTGTAGATCGTCCAAACGGAAATACTACTTTTGCTCTAAAAGGAAATGAATATCACCAAGGACTTAATTAATATGTAAATATTCATAATGATTAATATTTTTATTCAGCACAAGTCTGGGTATTTGTAAGTAAACTTAAAGCCTGAACGATGGGGCACAGACATTACATATATGAAGAGTATTAATTAAGTTGTTCAGGTATATTACTATTCTTTAAATCTTTCCCTTACACTCCTTTAAGTGTGGGTTATAGATATGTACAATCTCAACACATGTCAATGGTGATACCTGATTGTGGACTCAATACTGGAGAATATAAGTTCATAAATTTACTTTTTGTCCTCAAGAGAAATCGTTGCTATTAATTTTTGTTTAAAAGAATGCAGTGCTGGTCTTAACCTAGACATGTTGGCAATTAGTTCAAATTAAAATAGAACTTAGAATCACAAATAAAATATAATTGGACGGCTGATTTTATGAAAAAAGAAAATGAGGTCTATTAAACTTTATTAGGTCTTCCAAAGGTTAATGACAGTGATTCTTTTAATAGAAAAAGTTATAAATGAAATAAAATATACACTGTGTGGTAGTTATTTTTAAAAAGTACACAAAAGAATATTTAAGAAGAAAGAGACAAAGTATGTTAATTGTTCTTGCATAATGTTCAACCAAAGATAATAGCTTGAGCCCACTGATAGAAACAATTTAATAGAATGGCAATTTCAATATTTTTAAAAAATAATGTTTCATAGTTTAAAAAGTAATCAGATCAACATAACCTTCTTAATTAACATTTCAAAATGATTAACATTATGTAATGTAATGCAAAAATAATTTATGGAAAATGTATTTACTTCACAATTCACTGTACCATTGCTCCTTGACCAAATTCAAATTAAATAGTAATTGGTTTACATTCTTATATGATGAGTGCTTCATAGTTTCCTTTATAGTTAACAGATTGCCACATATTCTTTTCAGTGTTTGGGCCACTGCACTGATTAAAAATGATCTAAACTTATTGCAACTATATGTTTTCAAAGATGCTTTTTATTTTAGACTAAATTATCCAATATACTTTTTTTGTCTTTATCTGGACTACATCACACTTTGAAGTATTTACTAAAGCACCTCTACTCATATGGAGGCCAATTCTGTGTATGATATTGCTCCCCTTTTCTGGCTACTGTAATAAAACCATTCCTTTTATAGCATGCCATTATTAGAAACCAATTTCAGAATTATTTATAACCTGGAATGGCTTATTAAGCAGCAATGCGAGAATCATGCAAATTATGCGATCAAATGCAATATAATAAGCATAATCATTAGTCTCTAGCACGGATTAATTAACTTTCAATATTTTATTTACATAAAAACCAAATCAGTGAAATAACTTCTGCACAGTCAGGCTTGCCTTTCAATATTTTATACGAACAAAAATAATGTGCTGTAATTCCATTGACCGTGTCCCCCAGAATGGCCCTGTCACCTGCCACATCTTAATAGGGGGACAAGCTGAGAGTATTTTCTAGTTTTCTAATGGAATGAGAAATTGCATTTTCTTCCTCTCCCAGCACTATTAAAGTGTAATGAATTCGGCCCAGAGTTCACGGCTGGCTGATCGAAATGAACCTGAGATCTAGGCGTTAATACAGCTCCCCAGATTTCCTCCCAAATCCTCACATTAATCATTCGCTGGATTCCAATGAAGTCTTCATAAAGCATTTGCTTCAAGTGTGTGTGTGTGTGTGTGTGTAATATTCTTTCTTTCTTCCCTTCTTTCTCTGTTCCTAAGCCATTTATAACTGGGGAATTAAACGGGCTATATATTTTAAAATACATTTACAGTATGTCTATATTACTGTAACAGCAGATATCATGAAAGTGGATTTTTAGATTCCAAACTCCATTAGATTCTCACTGTTGTATTAAGCATTTTCTGAGCAGAGCTGCATTTCAAACGGAGTACAAAGTTGGGTCTCTGGCTGTGGTTAATATATTTCCTGGAGTTGTCATCTGTGCATTCTGAAAATCTCCCTTAGGTTTTGTCTGCATTTTAACCTGTCATGCTCTAGTTTTCAAGTGGAAACATTCACACTTTAAAAACATATGTATCATAGTTTGGAATGAAGATGCTCTGCATCCACGCAGATTCCCACCCCCTCCTTGAATCTCAGTAAACCATGAAACATAAAAAAAAAATTGTAGCCATCATTTGACTACTAACCCTCAAACATAATTGAGCATGATTTTTCGATTATTCCTCTAATATTCTATTCAGTTCTTTAGCAGTGGTCCTTTTCCTTATCTGCCTGAGCAGGCACTGGGTTCAGTCTTTTTTTTTTTTTTTTTTTTTTTTTTTTTTTTTTTCTGGCAGCAAAGTTTGCTCTTCTGGTTTGCACTCTCTTTTACCACCTCTTCTCCCAAGTTGCCACCTCCAAAACACTGACCCTTTAGGACTCACTAGCTCTCTAGAAGGTTAGGAATTGGTCATTTCTCTCTTTCAAAATGTTCCTGGGAGGCTGCACATGAGCTGGAAAAACCATTTTGGTCAGTCCAACTCCCAAACTAGTGTTGGGTGAGTACAGCAAAGGGTCTTTGGGACATTAGGTCTTCTCACTTTCCTTCCACCCAAGGCCAAAGGCTGCCAACAGCTCAATCTGGCCACATTGATCCCATCACCACCATCAAGGGCCCTGCAGCCTCATTAATCCCTATGCCACCAACTCAAAAGCTGCAGCTAATGGCTGCAGCTTACTTATCCATCACCGATGCTGGGTAAAGATGCTGTGGGAGATGGTGTACAAAGTAGAGAAAGATAAAGAGGTGGGCGAAGTTGCAGGTAAAACAGGAAGACATGGCGGACTCAGAATGAATTCTGGACTGCAAAGCTATTCACAGCAGTTAGCCAAGAGTATGCCTGCTTACACAGCTATAAATTCTTGGTTTACCAAGAATGAAGGCAAATAGGTCCATATTCCTGACACTTCAGCTTGCAAAGCAAATACTACCTAGATCAGATTGTCAGATAAATCACTGTTGGGGCCACAAATACGCAGGGCAGGTTGTGTTGGCCAAGTTCTAACAGTACTAGTCAATATTTGACCTCTGTCCAGTACCATTTTATATTTAATATCAGTAGTCATCCACCTAACTATATTTTAAATGGAAAGACTGCCAAGTAAGTGTACTGAGAGCCCCCTCCTCTTAAAGATAAAATTCAAATGGGTAGGGATAGGAAATTATCAAGGTCAGATACATTGTCTATTTTTTTTTTTTCCAGAGGAATTTTCTCTCTGTGATAGTGAATTTCACATTTGTAGGCACATTTGCCTGATAGGCTCTGAAATCCCTGGGCCACAATCAGGAAAGAAACATCAGGAGGCTTGTCTGAGTTATATTTTATTAAACAGTTCTTCTTAGGGGAAAAATGATATGTCTATTGTCCCAGAAATTTAAATTTGCAGTATGACCAGTGAGAATTCTAAAGTCGACCTCTTTTCCTTTGTATTGGTCAGAAAATTTGCTTTAGTTTTAGTTTATAACACAAGAGAGGTGTGTGTGTGTGTGTGTGTGTGTGTGTGTGTGTGTGTGTGTGTGTGTGTGTGTGTTAGGGATCCGAGGTAAGTTATTGGAAGGCACAGATCAAAGGCCAGGGAATGGGCAGCAAGTTCCAGTATACTGGAACTGCAGAGAAAGGTGCCTCAGAGTGTTTTGGGAGTGAGATGGGGAGGAGCTTTGTGGCAGTTTCCCCAAGCACTGAGGGATGAATCAGAAATCAAGGTGGCAACCAAACACCTCAGCTCAGTGGCTCACTTTGCCACGCGGGTCACTGTATTAACCTCTCCGCTCTGTCAACCGTGATGCTATAGGGGGTTTCCTTTGTCTTTCGATTTTGAAACTGTTTATGTCATTCGTGGCCTTTCATCAATTTCCAAATTTCCAGTGTTTCTGAAAATTCTATACCCCATCAGTGCTATAAGGCAAGCTATTAAGCCACATGGGTACTCATGTTTATCTTCATTTGTACACCTGTGGGTCGAGCCTTGACACATGCCTGCCTCCAGACTGGTGCATCCGTACAAAGCACAGACCATGCCAGAGCTCAGGGGTTGGTGAACGCTTCACGACGGTGGTGTGTGTGGGTGCTGTTTGCTCCATGCGTTCCGCGCCAGTGGGCACCGCGACTTGAGAGCGCCGGGAGTGTGCGCTTGGTGGCGGCGGGGGCGGAGAACCCCGAGCTCGCGCTGGGGCGTTGGGGGCGTGTCGAGCCCGGAGCACCGGCTGAGCCAGGGGCCGAGTGGCCGCGCGCAGCCAGGCTCCCGGGACTCAAGTTCCCACCCGGGTCGCTAACGTCGCCGGCTGTTGTCTCCCCACCCCGCCCGCTGCAGGTCTGGTTCCAGAACCGGCGCGCCAAGTGGAAGAAGCGCAAGAAGACCACCAACGTGTTCCGCGCGCCCGGCACGCTGCTGCCCACGCCGGGCTTGCCGCAGTTCCCGTCGGCCGCCGCCGCCGCCGCCGCCGCCATGGGCGACAGCCTGTGCTCTTTCCACGCCAACGACACCCGCTGGGCGGCGGCCGCCATGCCCGGCGTGTCCCAGCTGCCGCTGCCGCCCGCGCTCGGTCGCCAGCAGGCCATGGCTCAGTCGCTGTCGCAGTGCAGCCTGGCTGCGGGGCCGCCGCCCAACTCCATGGGCTTGTCCAACAGCCTGGCGGGCTCCAACGGCGCGGGGCTGCAGTCGCACCTCTACCAGCCCGCCTTCCCCGGCATGGTGCCCGCCTCCCTCCCCGGCCCCAGCAACGTCTCCGGCTCGCCCCAGCTCTGCAGCTCCCCGGACAGCAGCGACGTGTGGCGGGGCACGAGCATCGCGTCCCTGCGCCGCAAGGCGCTCGAGCACACAGTCTCCATGAGCTTCACCTAATGCCGCGGCGCGCAGTCCGCTCCGCCCGGGCGTCGCCCCCCTCCCCCGGCACCCCCGGCCGCGCGCGCCGGGCTCCCAGCTCCCCCGCCCGGTGTCCCCGGTCCTCCCCGAGCCCCAGCGAGGCCGCCGCCCAAGTTCCCTCCCCGCTCCCCGCCCGGCTCCCCTAGCCCAGCGCTGCCCGCCGCCCCGGCCTCCCGCTTGCCCGGGTCGTGCTCGCGCCCTCCTCCCGGCCTCTGCCAGGCGGCGTCCCCGGCCACACTTAGGTCACTACTCCCCCACCCCACCCGTCCCCACTACCCCGTCTCGCCCGCGCCTCCCTTCGGGCTCCTTCTCTCCCAGCGCCTCACGCCCCTGCTCCCGCGCCCGGCAGAAAAGCATCCTTCCCGCCATTTTACTTACCAGGGAGTCGACTCAGGATCTGAAATCAGACACCAATGGACTGGTTTGTGGGCAGAAACACACACACACACACACACACACACACACACACACACACACACACACACACACTCACTCACTCACACACTCCAGCATAGCTCACGCTCAGACACTATACACGCGCGCGCATACACACACAGTGCATCTTGGTCACAACACGGACGTGTTCAAGGTACAGCACAATGTTAGGGATTTTTGTCTTAAAGGTGGACAAGCATCTGCTACCAACCGCCTCATCCGAGGGCCCAGCTGATGTACTTTGATTTAGCCCTTTCTTTCTCCGCTACTCCTCTTTCTTTCCCAGACCACCACCCCACCCTGCCAACCCAGTCACTTCCGTGCAACCCTCTATAGGCTTGCAAAAAGACCGCTTTCGTTATAGCTCGGATTTTCTTTTCTTAAGCACAAATGTGTGTGGGTATAGAAGGGAAGGCTTCTCAGGAGGAACATGCCAGCGGATTGGGTGGCTAGAGCAGACTAAAACAGTTATGTGACGAAGGAAGAGGTGATCTTTCCCATTTTGATAGGCCTTTATAGGAAGGACAAAATACACACGTAAGGATTTTTTTTCCCTTTTGTAAAAGCAAAAGCCACATCTCTTTTCTAGATCCTTCAGGATTGGTGTTCGTTTGCTTCCTTTTTTGTTGTTTTCTTCTCGCTGCTCTGTGCCCTTGGTTGTTTTGTGGTCGTCCTAGCGCGTCCTTCCTTCGTGCCCCCTCGGCCTCCTGCCGGCTGCCGGTGGGTGCAGGCGGACATCTACAACCCTGCAACTTTGTACAGAGAAACACAATCAGCTCCTTCTGCATGTGCTGGTCAAATCCAAACCCAGAGAACAGAAGCGCTTTCTAAGAATGAACAAACATGTGAAATAGGATGTTTTGTGTAGATAAAGCATTCTTGTTACATACTGGTCAATTTGTGATATGTTTTAACTTATTGTCTGTGCTTATTTATGGAATTTGGTTTTCTTAATAAATGTTTGAGCTAATATAAAGCATATTATTTGACTTTTCCGGACAAGTTTATATCAAGTTAAATGTAAATGGATAAAAATAAAATCATTTTCAGTATGTGATACAGAGGATGATGGGTTTTGATGTAACCTTGGCAGGATGGAGGGTTTCAGAGGAGCGGGAAGAGAGCTAGTCTCAACTTGAGCGATGGTGGTTGGGATGCCTGGGCCCTTCGCCCCTGCGGAAGACTTGGGTTTACTTTCTGGCTTCCACAGCAAGGCTGCCTGCAGTGCAGTAGACAGGCCTGCAAGGCGGGCGAGGCAGGAAGTGCGGAAGCCGGGCTGGAGCTTTCCACGAGAGCTCAGAGTCTCGCGAGGCTTCGGGGCTAGGGCTGGGCTCGGGGCAGGGCAGGAGGGCACCACGGGGTCAAGAACCGAGACTCTTCTTTGGCGACTGGGTCTGTGGGACGGGGCCACAGAGGGCGCCCCTCGCGGGCGGGGACTGCGGGCGCAGGAGGCGAGGGCAGTGCACACCAGGAGGCCGCGGTTAAGATGATTTCAGAGCTAAGATGATTTCAGAGCCCGGAGCTCTGCACGCAGCCCCAGGCTCGCCCGGTTCTGGTCCGGCCCGGTCCGGTCCGGGCGAGTCTGGGCGTAGCCCCCCAGGGGCATTCTGGGTAAGGGCCGCGGGCCTGGGTGCCCAGCATCCCGACGGGCCTGGGTGCCCTGCATCCCGACGGGCCTGGGTGCCCTGCATCCCGACGGGCCTGGGTGCCCAGCATCCCGACGGGCCTGGGTGCCCAGCATCCCGACGGGCCTGGGTGCCCAGCATCCCGACGGGCCTGGGTGCCCAGCATCCCGACGGGCCTGGGTGTCCTGCATCCCGACGGGCCTGGGTGCCCAGCATCCCGACGGGCCTGGGTGTCCTGCATCCCGGCAGCCCTGGCCCGGGCGCACGAGGCACCCGGAGAGATGCTGTGGGCCGCGTGACGCCGGGTTGCCCCTCCGGGCTCCCCCTGCCTGTCCGCTCCGGTTTCCCCTGGGTCCAGGCTCGGCGCTGGCTAACCTCGAAGTTAGCCACGTGCCCTGGGAGCTCCCTCCAGGCGGGCTAGAAATTGCTGTCTGTGCCACAGGCTGCGGGCCAAGGTCGCCGCCGGTGCTTTAGAATGGAGGCAAATTGATACCACAGTCTTGCTTTGCCAAACTAACCAAATCAATCTGAAATCTAATGGTCGTTATAAATATCGAGAGGGCACCCTCCTTCCCATGGGAGGGTTTCTCACTTGGTTGTCAGACAGTAAACCCCCAAAAGCACCCTTATTACAATTTTGTGCCAGGGGGCTAAATATGAACTTTAAGGAACTACATGTAATCTTTACTCAGCTACCAGAGCACAAAGGATCGCCATAAAGGTGAGGACAAAGAGGAACGGATTAAATAACAAAAACAAAACATATGTTCATATTACTTAAAGGGTTTTAATTAGAGGCAAGTCGGTGAGTTTACAGGGTATTTCAGCTCTATATTTTCTAAAGAAATATTAGCATATTAAGAGGAAGTCACTTATTTTGGATTTTCTGTTAAAATGCAACTTTTTGTTTTGAGACAGGATCTGGATATGTAGCCCAGGCTGTCCTGGAACTCGAAGTGTTTTTCCTGCCTCTGCATCCTGAGTGCTGGGACCACAGACATGCACACTTTGTTAGACAAAAATGGGACATTTCTGTACTTTTGGAATATTTCCTAAAGTTAAGAAGGACAGCCTTCATGTTTATAAAGCATCAGAGACGAAGATTATTTATTCTACTTGTCTTATGTTCTCCCTTGTCTTATGTTAATGCATTAAAAAAAAAACCTTTTGGATACCATAATATCAAGTTGCATTTAAGTGATCAGTACAAATCACCATTGATGGCTTCACCAGTGAGCATGGAAAGTTGTTTACAAGGATGCTAATTTTACAGCTTTTTTATGTTGCCTATAAAGCATAACTTTATGATGTAGGAATGCAATAAAGGATGTTAAATGGAATCTTAAAATTTGTATTTCTCAAAGGCAAAGGAAATAGGATCTTTCATTTGAAAAAAAAATGGGCTAACTCAGAACACTGATGAGAAGTTGCAAATCAACTGAAGTGATAGAGATTTCAAAGACACTTATATTTTGTAATATAATGGCTATTTGTCAACATCAAAATGAAAGTATACAGAGTTTTTCACTTGACATGACTCTGAAATAATATTTGTTTCTATGGCAATAGCTTTTTTCCTTTGTATTGAGAATCCTGAACGTTTTAAAATCCTATGTGCTGTTAGGGTGGGGAAGGTTTAACAAAGATAGAAGTAGAGACTGAGGATCTCAGTTACAAGCACACCCCAATAGAATAATATTTCATACTAGTTTTACTCATTGAAAGCAAGCTGGACTCCAGTTTGTTAATTTTCTAACTAAGGTTAGCAAGGAATATAGTGGTGTAAAATATCAGAATTCAGTCTAGGTAAGTAAGGCATGCTAGATGTCTAGCCTCTGCTGAATTATACTTTTTTCTGAGTAGCCCATTTGACATCTGTCACTATATGCTAGCCAGAAAAGTCAAAGTCTATTATGACATAACTATATGATTGCTTTATTTTAATATACATATTTATCATTGTTATTAATTTTCTTCTCCAAGTTGGCGCTGAGTAGCCTATGTATCACACAAGTAATGGTGTAATAATGTAATGATGATGTTGTGTTTACTTTTTGTTGTTGATGGAAAATATATGATATAGGCATTTAACCTGCTAAAGATGATGTTAGATAGTGAAAATAAAATAGGATGCAGAACAATTTGGGTAAATCAAAGGAACTTACAAATCTAGATATACAGAAGAAAGAGATGGAATTCTGACCCGGGGTAATTTGTATTTGTTGCTATCAATGACTCTTCACCCTGAAAATGAAAATATATTTTTTAATCTGTATGGTGGACCTGGTGTTTTAATTTTTGGGATAAAGAAAAACTCAGCTCACACAGATGTGTATCCTAATGGCGGTAGTTAACCTGTCAGTTGAAAGAATGTAACCTTCCCTTTCTTCCTTTTAGACATAAAGATAATCTCATCTGAGGGCATTTATGTGAAGAAATAACAGCATGGCATGGGGAAACTACTGCCTCATTAATCCTGGCATCTACTTCCTACAGGGTTCCTTGATTAGTTAGATTCATTCATAGGGTATTTCAGAGTTTTTGATTTGTCGCCATTGGCTAGGTTCACTGAGTTCAGGCTAAATTGAGCCAGAAGCAATGTTTATTAGTAATTTTGTAGTACAGGCTACCCTAATAATTCAGCCCAAATATCTCATCTGAAAAATGTCCATTCATTCTCACTTCTAATTTGGGTTGCAGCTGTGTTCATAGGGAATTGAAAGAACACAAGTGATTGGGCATGTATTTTCTAAATTATTAATATGATGGCTAATAGCTGTAAACCCATCTTCATATCCAATACAGAAATTATGCTTCATTTTTAAAAACGAAAGCAGCTACAAAGGGGGACACCCCCTGCCTGGCTTTCTGGTCTCATCAGTGCAGAGCCTGCAGTAAAGGAACCGTGACCTATTTAGCAGAAAGAAGCAGAACAATGCCTTTGTTTTTGTTTTTGTTTTCAGTCATGCACTATGAGAATAAGGTGTGGGTTTATGAGATTTCCTCTACAATAACATCAAGAACATTCATGTATGAGCCACACAGAGGATCCTTTTCCAGTGTTGATGACGTCACAGTCTTTAGCAGGCACAGTTAGTTGTTTGTGCCGCTAAAGCTGCACCTCCCATCCCCATGCTCCGGTGTACCATACATCCACATCCCCATCTTCAAGGCCATACTGGGTTTGCATTATACTTGTTGCAGTTGTTCCTGCAGCCATAATCTCACTCAGGTCTGTTCTGAAATAACTCATAAGAACCAGGAAACGTATAATTAACCTGCATGACATATGCAATATATGTTCTTTATATTCTTCATTGAAATGTCACAGGGCTTTATATGCTTTTGTTCACAGCACTTACTGAATCTATTTAAGCTAAACTCAAGGTCAGACTAAAAATCCATTGAAAC